GTTCCTTGTCATGCCAGGTGGTGCTGGGGAGAAAGGCTCTGCCTAGTTGCTGTTGATCTCCCCTGATGAGCTTGTAGGCAGCCACCAGGTCCCCCCTCAGCCTCCTCTTGCTGAGGCTGAACAGGTTCAGGTCCTTCAGTCTCTCCTCGTAGGGCCTGTCCTGCTGCTCTCTCACCAAGCAGGTGGCCCTCCCCTGAACCTTCTCCAGTGCAGTGCCTAGAACTGGACCCAGTACTCCAGCTGCAGTCTCACCAATGCTGAGTACAGCGGAAGAATCACTTCCTTGGTTTTGCTGGAGATGCATCGATTGATGCATGCCAAAGTATTATTTGCCCTGCTGGCTTCAGCGTCGCACTGCCGGCTCATATTCATACAGTGGTCAATTATTACCCCCAGGTCCCTTTCATTCATAGTGCTAGTCAGTTTGAACCCCTGCTTCTCTCAGCCTCTCCTCATAAACCATGTCCCCCAGCCCCCTAACCATTTTTGTTGCCCTCCACTGGGCTCTCTCCACTTTGTCCACATCCTTTCTGTAGTGGGGAGCCCAAAACTGGACACTATACTCCAGATGTGGCCTCACCAGTGCCAAACAAAGGGAAAGAATCACTTCCCTCAAGCTGCTGGCAATGCTCCTATTAATGCAGCCCAGGGATGTAGCATCAGGCTTCAGCACTGTACGTTAGAGCATCGTAACAAATCTCTGTACCACACCACATCCTGACTCACAGTAGGTCATATTCTGCCAACATCCCATGGAGCATTGTGGCACCTTGCTCACCCCCCCACCTTGTGGAGTGACAATCTAACTTAGGCCAGAGTTTGTCTCCTCTGCCCAAGCACTGGGCTGGCCCTGCCCCCAGACTCTCAGTGACCAGCGGTGGTGAAGCCCAGCATAAGGAGTTTATGCATGGGTCAAAGATCACTTGGAATCCAGCTGTGATACTTTGAATGGTATCAGTGCCACCTTCTGCGGAGAGACCATTTCCCTCCTGGGCCAGGGTGGTAATGCAGTCTACTATACATCCCCTCCAGGGACTACACCAGCCCCACTCCAGGGACTCTTCCTTCAGGCAATGTAAGTCCCGTAGCAGGGGCTCTGAATGGCAACCATAGGAAATGCTTCACACTGTGCATTGATTGAAAGATGCTGAGGTGGGGGTGCCCTGGAACAGGAACTGTTGTATGTAGGAGCTGCTGACCTGTGGTCCATGGAGGCAGGAATTCTTCCCCACTTCAGGGAGCAGCGTTGGGGAAGAAGTAGAGGACCAAACTGACCAAGACCCAATGCCAGGTCCAGCATCAACTCAGCCCACCTTCCAGGGCCAAGTCACTACACCTAGCCACTGGTGGTTGCCAGTGTAGACACAGGGCCCTAAAGAGATTCCAGGACGGGGGTGGGAGCACTCAGAACAGGTCGGGGTGGCCCACCAGGCCAGGCCACTGTGGACCTGGGTACTGCTGCAGGGGAGTGGTAGCCTTCATGCGGTTTGGCAGCCCCCTGGCCTCTGGTCCAAGTTCTGGAGTGGGCAATAGTCCACAGTTTTTCTTTATTATGCACATACAGAGTTTGGCAACTTCAATGTTTAATTAAACTGAGGGCAGCAGTTTTGTACATGGCATTCCCTTGCTGCCCAAGGTTTCATGTTAGTTAAGCTGAGCCCTGTGGCTACCCACCCTCCTTCCCCTCTCAACAGCATAACTGCCCAGCGCAGCCAGGATCTTTCCCCACTGTCTCCATGTTAACTGAGAAGAGGGTTCCAAGTTCTGGAGTGGGCAGTGTTGCACAATTTTTATTTAATAAACATGCTAAAGTTTTGGGAGCTTTAACATTTGATTAAAACAAGGTGCATTTCTTCCTAGCGCTGCATTCTGCTGTACCCCATTGTGTGCCCCTGGAGGTATTGGGGAGGGAGAGGGGAAGAGGGACAGTCTGGGTTGTGGGCAATGATGCCTGTGATGCAGGGCCACAGGACCCCGGGGCTAGAGACCCATGTCCAGTGCCAGGGCAGGGGCACTTGAAAGCCCTCCACCCCTACCCATTTGTGGAGGGCCCTAAGTCCGCACAGTGAGCAGCTAGTTAGCCACAGCTTCACGGATCCAAACAGTCTGCTGCTGTGCAGGGCAGGGGCCACCAATATCAGCGGGAGAGGAATACAGGCATCTGGGGGACACACTTGTGTGTATACACACACAGAACTCAGGCATTTGTGGGACACGTGTGTGTGCACATGCACACCACCCAGGCATCCAGGATGTGCCCACATGTACACATACACACACATACCCCCTAGGCGTCTAGGGAACACACGCATGCATACACACACACACGCACGCACCCCTCAGGCATCTGGGGGGCGCATGCATGTGCACACAAACGCACACAGAACCCAGGCATCCAGGATGGGGACACGCACACACGCGCCCTTGGTGAATGAACGATATGGTGGGTGGGCATGTGCAGGACAGCCAGCTTGTGGCCATGATGAGCTGCTGCCTGCTAATCAGGGGTGGTTCAGCTGTTCCAACACCACTCGGGAGTCTTTGGCAACCCGGGGAGCCCGCGTGCCATGCTGGGAGCCATGTGAGATCCCCCCCTACCTGCTGGGCTTGGGTCTTACAGGCAGGCTTCGAGCCCCTGCCCCTCTGCTCCCTCCCACAAGGGCTAACGTGTTTTGCTTCCTCCCAACCTGGCCGTGGGCACTTAAGCTTGAAAGAGCGCTTCTGCCACAGACTTCTTGAACATCCATCCTTAGCCAGAGAGTTTTAAAAACTATATATAAACTAAAAGGTGATGGTGTGTGCTTCTTACACAGATGGCTTAGGAAGCTCTAGTAAGTTCTTAAGTCTTCAGCTTTCTAGAGGCTGTCTGTGAACCCTCCACATCTGACCAAAATTTTGCCTTAAATAGGAACACACTGTGTTAAGACCACCCAGGAAACAAAAATCCTTTTTTCTCGCTGACATGTTGCTGCAGAAGCTGTTTTGGTCCTGTTGAAGTGTTCTGTATGATGCAGAGATAATTGCCACTATTGTAAAATGTTTTCAATGAAAGCAGTTGACACGAAACACTAACTTACTACTACAGAAACTGAACTGTCAGCTTTGTTATTTTGTGCTTCATAATATGTTGTATTTTTTTACTTTCATTTTGTTTGGTAGATCCCCATAGGGATAAAAAATGTAAATTATTGTGTCCTGTGCACTCAGATATGAAGGTAAGATTTCATATTAAAGTTACAATTTGTAATTGCCTTCATGAATTTTTGTGTAGACATTTGGGGGAGTTGCCAACACTTAAATCTTGCAAAAAAATCTGTATGTTTTTAGGTCTGCATTCTTTTATTCTTTGTAAAGTCTGAAAAATATGCTCTGCATGGTGTAATATATGGTAAGTGGGAGGGAGGAACACTTTTCAGTGGGGTGCACTCCCTTCTGGGTAATATCTTATGCAGCTGTCAGATCTTCATATTTCTGGGATGCAAAGTGGATTTGTATAATTGTAGATGTATTCGTTATGCCTCTTTCTTAGCACACCCAAGCTCCTTACCTCAATAAACTTTCTACCTCCTACACAGTGGTACAATATAACACACTCTGTGCAGGTTCCCTGGCATCTCTCTCTGCTACATCCGAGGCTTTGTGCATTGGTCATGGTTTCATAGGCATAGTGTTTGTCAAACTTTGTTTGAATTAGCCCAGTGCCTGGAGTAATTAACCAGCTAAGGGGTTTTCTGCACTCTTTTTCTTTGTTCTTGTACCAGGTTCTTATACAACTCATGCAAGATGCAGTGGCAAATGGATGGCAGGTGGCTTCCTTTTCTGCCAAAATGTCCAGCCCTGAATACAAGAAAATAGATGCATAGTGTAGGCATCATTAGAAGCTCTTCCTCATTGCCTGATCAGAAAGAACTCTCCAGAGACCTCTATAGTAGTATTCCCCACCACAATCCCCCTTGCCCTACATTTACTGTTTTTAAAGGACTGGTAAACGCCATTATACTACTCAAGTTAAATGGCTACCTGAATGTTATCAAAAAACTAAAAAGTTATTCCAATGTATGCATTCACTGCAGAGTTTTAAACACAAACACAACCATGTTTTGCTATTGCGAGTGTTGTCAGTCATTTCCATAATACTGACCCATAACAAATAGATTATTTTACAATCCACCTTTGTACCCTTTCATGTCTAGAAAATACCTCTGAGACGACTACAGCAAGTGTTTACATGGGAAGCCATTAGCAGGAAAAGAGCTTACTTTTAGCTTTTTAGTACTATTAATAGTTGGAAACAAGGAGGAGAGTTAACCCTAAATGACCAGCCTACAGCCCAAGCACCACAGTTTGCATTAGTTTATTCAAGTTGAGGTAAAAAAAACCTTGCTACCTTGCACCTTCCCTGCCCCATGTTGCTAAATGAAGGTTTCATTTGAGGGGAGTGAGTCTTAATGGGGCATGAAGAGAAGGGAGTTTTGTTATGTAAAAGGCTGAGAGTTACTGTTCCAGTCCAAGAGAATGAAAACGTGAAATTGCTCAGTTTCACCAACCAAGGTACACTGACAAATAGTAACAGCATGAATGTTGAAAATGAGTTGCACCTTTAAATTCTTCCCATTTATTGACCTAAGGTAGGGAAGAGAGAGTAATTTTTTTTCTCCAGTTGTTACTTTGTGCTATATGCCCACCAATAACCATTCCCAGATGAATACACTAAATTACCAAAGTGCATCACTCATATTTACATATTTATATTTTATAGGGATGTGGCTGTCAAAATGGTGACTGATGTGAATGTACGGTAATTAGTGACTTGTGAAGCTTACAGACTTTCTTCCCAAAGCCTGTTTGGTTATGCACACATGCATGTGGCTGGTGTTATTATTTCAACTGAAATCAGCAGTGCTTGCCCACCTTAGGCATGATTGATGCGTATTCCAGGTGAAGAAAAATGTTGCCAAGGAAGAAAGTAAAGAGTGATAATTACTCTTGTTTTCATGCAGGTGTATGCTAAGAGTCTTGGATTCATTTGGGACTGAACCAGAGTTTAATCATGCTCATTATGCCCAGTCTAAAGGCCACAAGACACCATGGGGTAAATGGAACCTCAATCCGCAGCAGTTTTACACGATGTTCCGTAAGTATCCTTGCACTTTACAAAAATACTTTCTAGAGCTAGAGTTAAACATTTCCACTGAAAGACTCTTTCTGTCAAAAGCAAGCTTGTGCTCCAGTAAAATGAGCAGAGGAAAGGGGTTCCTAATTCTGTATTGACTGTATAAAATTACAATATACCCAATGCAAACACAAAAGAGCAGTATTAATGCAATGTAAATAATGGTAAGGAGGTATATTCTAAAGGTCGCAGCTGAATGCTGTGATTGAGCTGCTTGCCGCAAGCTTCTGGAGTTCACTTTTGTTCAGCTTCAACTTCCCAAATACTTCTGTAGAGTGATTGGTTTTTTGAAGTGTTGGCAAATTCCATTTTGTAGACTAAATTACTCTTGTATTTGATTGAACTAAGCCAGAGGTCTTGGGGCTTTGCTGTTTTATTTCTGCCTTATTCCTCAAGTCTTGTCTATAATTGTCAGTGTGATGCTTTCCCTATTTCTCTTTTTTCAGAATTCATCAACTGGCAATCTTTGCTGTTCAACATACAGAATTTTGCATCTGTAATTTTCTTGCAGATAGCTTCAAGGTTTTCACTTAAGTTGTTTTTCCCTTGTGAGCATTTATTCTGAAATGAACTGTTTCAGAATGCTTCAACCCAATATCAACAAAGCTATGAAAGTCAGCACTCGGGTACAAGGTAGCTAAAAGTTGCACAAATTAACTGCCATTAAAAAGCTACGTTGATCAGTGACTCAGAAGTTTTTGGACCATAGAATGTCTAATGTGTTTCTCAAAAATAAGTGTCAGCTAATTAATTGTTGGATGTGTTTTGATATTTAAATCATAGGATAGGCAGCCATGACTTGTAAATTCTATCTCTGTCTCAGCAGCGGATTCACTTTTATATCCCTAGGAAGGCCTGTAACATCTCATAAGCCTTTTTTGATGAGCAAATATAGGGCACGCATGTTTAGAGAGGAAAGAACTTTTTTTTTTCTTAGGCAAACTTATCCATCTTCCCTGTATTGTCTCCTTTTGAACATAGTAATGACTTGACTGATGAAGTCCCAACCCATGCTGTCAAAAAGATAAATCTTTTGTCATCCTCCCCCCAAAAATAGATCCATTCAATTATTTCCTTTATGATACTAATTTTATGTACAAGTTGCTTGTCTGTATCTATGGTTTTAGAAATGTGCAGATTTCTGATTGTCTGAAATACTAAATGTGTGTTTTTCTTTGGGCAAAGAAAATTAGCTTTTCAATAATGGTAGTTTGTTTCTTTTGTATCGGAAAATTCTGAATGCTGGAAGCTGTTCGGGGGGAAGAGCAGAGGGGGGTGGAAAATTCGGGATGTGTCCTGTTCACCCATCCGCCTTACTAGCGCTGTTCTTTACTATGAGTGCTAAAAAAAAAGTTCAGTAGCTCTTGCCTTGTTTTATTCTATTCATAGTATGAGAAAGAACACAGAAAAAGACAAATTAGAGAGTGAGAGAGAAAATGAGATGGGAGCACGTTAGTTAGATTAAAAAATGACTCGCTCATCTCAAAATGTAGTTAATGAAGATAGAGGAAATGGGCCATTACTAGTGGTTTCCTACTTGTTCTAATGATTAGAACTTTTTTCAACTATCTAGAATTATAGAATCTTTGCTGGTTAAGATTTTCTAATGACCCAAATATGATACTAGACATTGAGAAGGAATGCCAGGTTACTGTTAGATCAATCTGAATAACTTGTAAATAATTTCCATCCAACAAAATGTATAACAACATGTGGAAGTGCAAGGTGCTACTCTCAGAGCAAAGAATTCAGGCTAGGTCTATGAGATAGGAGATCCTGTCTTGGAAGAAGGTCTTAGGACATCATCATAAGTAACAGCCTCAATATGAGTTTTTAGTGCAGTTCTGTGACTGAAAGGCTAATGCAATCTTTGGAAGTATGAAATGGAGAATATTAAATGAAAGCAGGGAATCATCTTCAACAGTTAGGCATTACTAGAATACTGTGTCCAATTCTTCTATCTTCATTTCAGATAAGACGTATTCAAAGCATTCAAAGAAAAGCCACAAAAATGACCCATGAGCTTGAAAAGCCTCACAATATGAGACTTAAGGAAGTTCAAGCTATTCAGTTTATCAACAAGAAAACTGAGGTCACTTAATTTCTGTGTTTAAGTAGTTACATTTGGAAAAGATGCAAGAATATATGATTGGAAGGGGGTTCCTGGGGAATTGAGTCCAGTCTCTGATAATGGGCAGACATTTCAGTGCTGTAGAAGTGCTTAAGGGTCTAGAAGTTGAAATTAGGCAGTTGCAGCACTGAAATAGTTTCAGCTTCAAGAATAACTAATCACTTGAATAGTTTACCAAGGAAGGAGGTGTTCTCTTCCTTGCTTGGGATCTCCTAAAGGTCTGTCTAGAACAGAGTTGCTTAGTCTGTGGCACACAAAAGTGCTGTCACAGCCCCACATGTACAGTGAACTCTGTGAGCTCACTGGCCTTCAGCACAGGCGCTGGCCAGAGCCACCACTTCCACACTGGTCCAGAACCTAGGAGGTAATTATTTCTTTGCAACCCTTGGCCCATTTCTTATGCTTGTAGAGATAATAAATAAATAAAGGTTGAGCACCACTGTTTTAAAAGAACACTTTACTCCAACTTCTGGGAAATATTCTACAGTTAGTGTTCTGAGTTTTCAGTTTTTTACTGATTTTTTTTTTTTTTTTTCACCAGTAAATTCCCTGATTTTTATTTATTTTTTTTTATTGAAGTTATTTGGTTTCAACTGATTTATACCTGTTTTTCAGTTCACTCAATTTTACTGGGTACAGTAAAATCCCTGTTAACTGGCATGAGTGGGGAATGGCTGGGGGTGCTGGTAAGGTAAAAGTGCTGATTACCTGAGGCATAGGTTTCTGGCCAGATTGGGGGGGGGTGGGGGGGTGGCAGCGGCCGCACATAGAGAGGGAGGTGGTGGCTGCACAGGGGCCGAGGGAGGGTGGCTGGAGCCACTGCCTGGAGGTGCGAGGCTCCTGCCTCTGACCCGGGGCAGAAGGGGCCATGAGAATCACTCTCAGGATGGGCGGGTCCCAGCTGCACCCCAGTGGCTCCAGCTGCAGCCCTGCCCTGGGAGCTGGGAGTCCTGCCAGGGTCAGAGTTGGGGTCGGGATCGGGTCGTCTTGTCGTCCCCCCTGCGTCTGACTGCACGCCATTCCCCTCAGCCCCTGGGCTGCACTGTGTCATGGTGCAGATAGGTGGCATTGGCCACTCCCGGGGCCACTGCAGCAGGGGCTGGGGTGATTGGGATCAAGGTGCGGTGTGCCCCATGCACCCCGGGGCTCTGCTTGTTTCCACTCATCCCAGCCCCTGCTGCAGTGATTCTGGGAGCAGCTGACACCAGTTGTGGAGAGAACTGTAAGTCAGTGGGTGTGGGGCGAAGGGGCATGGCTCTTGCTGCTACACGCACCCTGGGAGGGCTGCGGGCTAGGGGGCTGCGCCGGACTCTTCCTGGGGGGGCGCGTCTCTCTGGATCTGGACACTAGACGAGAGCAGGCTGTCGCCCGCTCCGAGCACTGGGAAGAGCCTGGTGCCACTGCCAGCCCCAGCCTGCAGGGACAGCCTTCTCTTGTCCTGTGTGCAGATACAGGGGCATGCACCCTCTGGGAATAGTCTGGCACATCTCCCCCAGCCTGCAGCCCTCCTAGGGTACACGTAGCACCAAGAGCCGTGCCCTCCCACCCTGCACCTACTGACAGTTCCCTCCGCTTTGCTCCCTGCTGCAGCCCCCGGAGCGGCCAACAGGCTGCATCATGCCCCTCTCCCCGCCCCTTCCCTAGTCCCAGCCTTACTCTCTCCCTCCCTCACCACCACGGGAACGTATTATTATTTTCCCCAATTTAAACCAATTTTTGTTGTTGTTGTTTTATTTTTTCCTTCCTTCTATCCTGATTTCAACCTGGTTTTTATGTTTGGAATAAACCCTGAAAAATTCCCAGATTTTTTTTTTTAAATAAGAACTGAAAACACAGGAACACTGTCTACAGTTTATTAATAAAGGAAGCCAAACTAGGTAATAATAGGCAGCCCTTTCTGCCTTTGGGCTTTCTGAATCTATGAAAATCTTCTGATCTTGGTCCATTGGTCAAAGTTGTCCGTACTTAAGTTATTTCTTGTAGGCTCACTGAGAGGAGGAGAGGCATGGGAAATATATTGTGTATGATATATATCTGCCTTAGAAGGCACAGTCCAAATAATAAGACTTCATACTGTGCATCCCTAAAATTAGATGAATGTTTCCAACTAGAGGGCATGGCCAGAGTGACTGGTTGAACTTTGCAGCTGAGTCCATCCCCCATGAACAATGAACTTGTTCACACTGAGTATTTAGATGTCTATGTTGTTGGGTTTCTGGTTGTAGCTGTGTTGGTCAAAGGACATAGGTTCTTTGGGTAGATGTGATACATTTTATTAGACGAACTGAGTAGTTGGAAAAAAGTTCCTAGCAAGCTTTTGGTCACAGTCACCCTTCATCTTCGTGAGACTCCATATGCTTGACGAAGTGCGACTGCGCCCAAAACCTTGCTAAGAACTTTTTTCCAACCACTTAGTCGGTCTAATAAAAGAGATGACATCTACCCAAAGAACCTTGCCTGCCTAGATGTCTGTGTGCAACTGTTTGGTTCATCAGAAGATGGTTACCGCCAAATGCAACCACCTTATGTTGCCCTGTGTTGAAAGAATGTTCAATGTATTTGCAAACCCTTTCATGACAAATTAGTTATTAAGGATGTTACAGAATCTTACTAAAGTCCCTGAGATTGGTATTAGCAGTGAAAATTAATCAACTAAAATGCTGGAACACTTTGAAGCTTGCGTCCATGTGCCTGAATTAAGGGGAGTTCATCAAATTCATCACTACACTCTTGCCTGTTCGTTGTTGCCTCTCTGTGGGGCTGTTTCCCCAGTCTTT